CGCCCGCGGCCGCCGGGGGGCACACGCACTCGCACCCCAGCCCGGGTAACCCGGGCTACATGATCCCGTGCAACTGCAGCGCGTGGCCCAGCCCCGGGCTGCAGCCGCCGCTCGCCTACATCCTGCTGCCGGGCATGGGCAAGCCTCAGCTGGACCCGTACCCCGCGGCCTACGCCGCTGCGCTATGACCCCGCGCAGCCGCCTCTCAAGGACCGGTGTGCGCACGTGTATATATGTATAGGTACGAGTTCTGCGGCCTCCGGGTGCGCCCTCCCGCGACTGGGGGCCCGATTTGTATGTACATACGATGTATAGGTGCCAGGCAGAGGCAGAGATGCCGGTCGGGGCGCGAGTGGCGGAGCGCGCGAATGCGCGGGCGAGTGTGCGTGTGGATTCACAGGATCATTCAGACTCGCACTCCGGCAGCCAACTTTAAGGAGAGCGGGTGTATCCGGCAGCCGCTGGTGTTTGCTTTGCACTTCGGAACCTGTTGCGTTTTGACCCACAGAGGTGAAATAACTTTTGACATGTTGGGCTTTCCAGTTTCGTTTGTTGGAAATTTTATTGTCGGTTTTGTTTCTCATTCTCTCCCCCTGCCCCCCACCCTATCTGTGTTGCATGCACGCTGTTTAAATGTTAGGTCTGAAATGGCTGGCCCACGGGGAAAGCCGGTCTGTGTCATTCGTTTCTCGGAGCAGGATGGCTCACAGCAACCTTGCTCCCTATTTGTACTGTTTGAACTTTGCAAATCTCTGTTTTCCCAAGCAGAACCCCCAGACCGGATCCATTCTTGACCAATGACCTGCTGGAATCTGGCCTTTTGTGTGCGAGATGATCACGGTTTCTTTTGTTTATCACTCCGTATGCAAATCAGAGCAAGAGTTCTTTCCCGAGAGCAAGAAACACAAACAAGAAATATGTGTGGGATGTCAGTTGGATTTTCTCCTTTAAAGTAAACTAGCAAACAAACAAAACTAGCAGAAGTCTCCCTGAGTCCACTCGCTTGGATTTCTGACACAGTTAACAAAGGAAAAGGCACGGTTTCTATTTTCCCCTTATGGCTGAGTTCACCTTAAGATTGTAAAGTGTGTATGTCAGTGAAAAACATCGAGTCTTGGAAACTGCGTTATTTTCGTTGCCCTAAATTTGAGTCGGTTTTAGACTCAACATTTTAAGCAAATGTCACAAGTTAACTTTTAAAAATTGCGGAACTATTTCAGAATCGCAATTTTACCTAAGATTAAATCAGACTTTTTTTGTCTGAGTGGTAATTATATATTTATTATTTAGCAAAACTGGAAAATAAAGCACAGAATTGTTTTGACACATGTCTCATTTTCAGCTAACATTTCTCCCTCAGCTTAAACCTTTTTGATGAGTTTTGGATTCCCTTTCCGATTAGCTTATTTTTTAGATCACCTTCAATTCATTTGCAAATTATGGAAAAACACATTTTAGAAAAAAAGAACCTTCCTCATTTATAGCATTTTTGTTTATTTTAAATGTATATATTTTGACTAATGTTTGTGAATGAAGTTGGCTAACATGTATTTAGTTTCATTTTGGCTTTATGTAATATAAAGTTTTAAAAAGTTTAAATATTGGTTTTAACCTTTATGTGTAAATGGTTTTCTTGTGTGAGCTTCTAATTTAATATTAGACGTCTAAGCTATATCTGTAAATTAGAATCCGACTATCACTCTGTTCATTTTTTTGAACAAAGAGTTTAAATAAAGCCTGAACCAGGGAAAAGAGAAAATCCTCTATTTCTTGTTGAGTTCCTAACAAGATTTTTATCTGAAGTGCCCTTACGTGCCTGGTCCAGGTGAAGTGTAAGGTATCCTCCAAAGGCAGTCTTTGTTTCACTTTTGAATAGATTTACTAGGAAATCTAAATCAAGCCATTGTTATTCAGAGCCAAAAACCTGATTTATCACATTTTTAATCGTGAATAGGAAAGAAGATAAAAGAAAGAAAAAAAAACCCAAGTAGTTGTATTATCTTTAGAAAAAAAAAAAAAAGGCATTCATGAACCACTAGAACAGAGTCCATTGAAAACATCCAGGCTGCTCAAAGCATGTCACCAGCTTCCAGTAAGATTTAAAGAGGAGAAAGTTGCCTAACCACTTTATCTTGTTAGTAGGGGAGCTCCACCTCTTAAATCAGTGTAATTTGTTCATGTATCTTCGGGGTATTCCTTATTTACATCTTAAGGTTTTATTTGGGAGAGTAATCACTGCTAACGACATTGTACAACTGTTTGGCCATTTTAGGGCTTTATTCTGTCATGCTAATAGCATTAAAACAGAACTCTAATAACTCCTAATAGGGGAGAATTTCTAGGGCTAGCCAACTTTCCGCAAGAGAAAAGTTTGAAATCATAAAGGATGTTAATTTCAGAAAAGAAATGATAGGGCACCAAGGAGAATATCAGAGGGGGGAAAAATGAACTGTAGGGAGATCTTTCTCCACCCCCCACAGAGATGGAAAGTCAAAATACTTCACACAAGTCTTATTACACTAGTTTCCCCTCTCAGAGAGACCATCTCTGGAGCTGTACATCTTTATAAGCGACCCAAGTCTTTAAAGGCATTGTTTTCCCCCAACGGAATAATATTTTAAAAACCATGAAAAGTTTTGGAAATGTGAGAAATAGGCTCTGCTGGTTTGACCCTGATTCACTAATTAAAACGATCCCTCTCCTGTTATTCCCCGAGCTCTTTGCAATATTATAAGTTAATTCATATGGTTCTGAGCGATTATGCAAAACTAATTTGGACTGTCCAGGGGTAATTATCCCTGACACGGTTAATTAAATCCTTTCAAGGCTTCATCTTTCCCTTTTGTAGCAACCGATCTCTTCTCAACACGGAACTTCCTGCGGCTCGCTGGAAATCACCCCAGCCCTAAATCTTAGTTACCTCCGGGAGCCTCCCAGCTCGGCCCCACTGGCCTGAAGATTCCCCACCCCCTTCCGCCCCCGCCCCTTTTCCCAAAGATCGGCGTTTTCCGCGAGAAACGCTCCGAAGTGTTGATGAATGAGAAGAGGACTAGAAAGACCGGTAAGGGGAGGGGAGGGAGGATGCCGGGGTTGAGCACCAGGGTCACCTCGCCAACAGATTGTGCGGCAGTTCGAGTACCTCCCCCGGCCCCAAAGACTCGTTTATCATCCACTCTGATTCCAGGGCTCTTGCTAAGTTGGCGGATTTTACGTTTCGAGAGAGCCTCCAGCCAAGTTAGACTGTGCAGAAGTCTGGGGTGAGGAGGGGAGGTGGAGAGGGGAGCGGCTCTGTGGCTAGAGGATAAAAGGTCACGTGTGGGTGTAAGAGTCTGAAAGTGACCCACAAATACAGCGCTGGGACTGCGCAAAATGGTGCTGCAGACTCGCGGTCTTCATCTCTTGTCTCCCCATCTCTCCATCACCGTCTCTCTCTCTCTCTCTCTGCTCCCTGTGCCTGTTTTTTTTGTTTGTTTTGTTTTTCTGTCTTCCTACCTGCCTTCCTTTCTTCCCTTCTTTTTGTTCTTTATCATCTTGTTTAAAAAAGCCATCACAGCACTTCTTTGGTAGTCACCGTGGCCCCAAAGCGGTCCCCAAGTCTGGTGTCCAGGGGGCCAGACAAATTGCTTGGGGCTTTGTGCAAACAGGTGGACTTGCTCTGTTTAAGCAGTAAGAACCGGTGCTGGGGGACGCAGCCGTGCCAAGGGGTGGCTTCGAGGGACCAGCGGAGCTGGCCGCTATTGTTAACTTCCTTTGACAATTTCCTCCCCCTCCCCCGCAACGAGAAACTAGAATAAAACAGCTCGGATCTCCCTCTCACCCCCAGGCTCCGGGCTGCCTCCGCGAGGGGCGCAGAAGATGGAGAGAAGATTCGACTCTTCCCGGAGCAGACAGGGACCCGCGCGCCAGCCAATCAGAGCGCGGCTCGGCGCGGGCGCTCCCGGGCACCGCCGCCGCCCACGCCCCCCGCCGCA